CGAACAAGCCGGAGGCCAGAATGACCGCGGGGAGGGGCGAGCCATCGTCCTCGAGCACGGCCCCGTGCAGATCGGTGCCCTCGCGATGCCCACGACGTCAGGAAAGAGGGGGCTGGCCGACACGGACTGCGTGCTTGCCCCCGCTGAGCGTGTCCCACGGAGTTGGCCGGAGACGATCGCGCAGATGATGACGACGCCGACGCGGCGTGGGGGGCCACCTGGCCTGAAGGGGCAGCAGTGGCGGCCTCACCTCGGATGCTCGTCCTCCGCTCACAGCGGCAGCTGCGATCGCTCGCGCTGCTGCGCAGCCACGAGCGCCGCGGCGGCGCAGACGTCGGGGAGCGCCGCCTGTCTCGGGCCTCGCGCTCCGCCGCAGGGGGCGGGTCCGCCGCCCGACGACGCGCCGAGGGGCGGCGGTGGGGCGCAGCGCAGGAGCTGCGAGGAGGGGGGGCCGCGGGGCGGCCCTCTGCGCGCGAGGCCCCGAGACGGGGCCGCGGGGGGGGGGCACCTCGGGGCAGGCCCCCCGCGCGGGCACAGGGAAGCAGCGGGCCGTCTCCGAGGGGGCGGCCGCCTCGACGCGGGGACGGCGGGGCGACGAGGTGTCCCCCCCGGGCAAACCGGGGGCGCGTGGAGAGGTGGCAGCGCAGGCCGCAGCGGCGGCGCCTGGCTCTCGGGATCGCATGCCGGGTGCGGCGCCTCCCGCCGCGGCCTCCCGCGCGGCCGCGCCTGCGGGGCCGTGGCGTGGTGACCACGGCCCGGCCGCGTTGATCAGTTGCCGTCTTCATCGCCATCCGCGCGAAGGGATCGACGATGACGGCGTGGGCGACGATGACGACGTTGCTTCTGTCGACGACGATGAGCATCATGATGGTGCCCCCTGGGGTCTTGACGGTGCGGATTACGATAGCAGCGCCATGATGATTGCGGTGCTGAGGAGTTTGTTGTTGGTGGTTGTGCTGGTTCGTTGCGATTTCGACGGCACCGCGATGGCGCTGGCGGCGGCCCGACGGCGAAGGCAATGATTGTGATGGTGATGGCGATTGTGATGACGAGGATGGCGGTGCCCGGATAGCTCTCTGAGAGCTAAGCGGGTTTCGTATTTGAGGCTGGCAGCGCAGGGTAGGCCAGCCCCTCTCCAAGGCCACTGGTCAGGCATCCCCGCAGCGACCTGCTTGAACTTGCAGCTAGTCCCCAGAAGCGTTTCCCTACTCGTTCCCAATACGCGTGCGTGAAGCCCTTTTCCGCAGGTCCTTCGCAGCTCCTTCGAAGCTCCCCCGAAGGTCGCTTTCCAAAGTTTGCGAGCTCCCCAGGCATGCTTTCCAGCGACCTGGCAAGCGTCTCCCACGGGCATTGTCTGATGCTTGTAAGCTCCCCGGGCACGCTTTCGATCGTCCTTGTATGCGTCGCGCATAGGTGTTCGAAGCGCTCTGGACTGCATCGCTGTCCGGGTTCTGGATTGCACAAGCGGTGACTATTGCGATGCCGACGATGGCGATGGCTGATGTCCAAGCCGCTGCGTTGAGAGGAGGCGGTCCGCGCGCAAGTCGCGCACTGCCAGTGTTCAAGGCCGCGACGAGCCGCGGCGGCGAGATTCCCCGCGGCCCTCCTCGGCGACCCGTGGCCCGCCGAGCTTCGGCCCGAGAAGATCGCCAGCTTTGCCCAAACACTTTCCCCTTCTCCGGCTTGCCTTCCCCCCCCATCTTTCAGGAGGAAAAGAAGCACACAGACACAATTAATCGTCGATTCCCCAGAAAATATGGGAAAATATGGGAAGTGGGGGGGGAAGACAGACACCCAGAACATATGAGGAAATATGGGCAATCTTTTTATGTGTGTGTGTATTTATTTGTGTGTCCTGGGGCCCCCTCAATCTTGCCTCCCGCCCCCGCGCCGCGCGCGCGCGCGCTGCTCCAGCGGGCGGGCGCGGGCGCGCTCCCGGCGCTGGCCCGACGCCGAACAGCCCCCGCAGCCGCCGCGGGCCGCGGGCGGGCGGCAGTCCTCCGGGCGGCAAAGGGGCCGCGGGGGGCGAGGCCGCCGGGGGCGCTGGCGGCAGTGCCCGCGCCACTCACCACCCACCAAACCACCCCAACCCAACCCGAAGGCCCAAATGTATCCTCGATTTCCAGTGGGGGGGGTGTCGGGGAACATGGAAAACACACATGGAACCCGTACCCCCTCCGACCCGAAATTCGATTCGAATTCGGGTCTTCGGGTTGGGTTGGGGTGGTCTGGTCGGTAGTCAGCCACCTGGGGCGCGCGTTCCGCGAGGGCCTTGCCCGAGGGCGCCAGGGGCGCCGCCGATCACGGCGATGCCTCTGCCGCCCACTCTCCCGCCAGGGCGAGGCCCCGCGGGCGGGGGGAGGTCCTCCGAGAGGCGGCGGGGGCCCGGCCGTGGAGGCGGCGGGGCGGGCCCCCGGGGCCCCTGCCGAGGAGGCCCCTGGGGCTGGAGGGGCGGGCGGCGGTTCTCGGGGCCCATTGGCGCCCGGGCGCTGGGGCGACG